ACCTCAAGGTACTTCAACGTGGCCGGTGTTAAGTTAATTATCTTAATTTCAATTAGTATATTGTTTTAAAAAACAAAATGCAGCACCTAAAGCCAAGTTTCATTTCCACTATGGAGTCGAAGAAGACCACTGACGCTGGTCTTACAACAGATATGAGGGAGAGAAGTATCACAGGTAATAAGTTTAATGCATTCTTAAAGTGTGCTTCAATAATTATGATAACATTTGCAGAACACGTGTTAAAGATATGTCCAAAATTCGATTTGCTGTATGACATTTTTGGCAACCGTAGCAATGTGAACGTCAATATTGTGAAATCTGATGCTTCTGTGGAGTGTCTTATAAACCCATCAGCAACAGAAGTAGAACCCATTGCTATGCCCACAAATGTCGGAAATGAAACCGATTCGGCCAGTGCATTGGAAGATTCTCCAACTTCATCCCGATTATCTAGAACGCGCGGAATAAACCGAAACAGATCTAGTTCTGCACAACGTGAAACTACATTCTTCATTATTATGTTACAACAACGCAGGATCGAAATTGAGGTACAAAAAATAAAAATTCTGAAAGAAAACGCGGATTTAGATAGAGCACAAGCACTTCGCGTGAAGAAAATGGAATTAGAGGCTTACAAGGAAGTGAGCTCAAAAAATATGAAATAGAAAGACCGGATGCTATAAAACTGTTAGCGGATGCGCTCAACAATTTCAATAAGTAAAATAAGTTTAATATAAGTTTTTTATGGTGGAAAGGCACACATACGGAGGAACCAGCCATATAAAATAATTTAAATAAAAATCAATTAATATTGAAAATAACAGTTGATTATTTCCACTTTTGCTATAAACCAATGTCATTTTAATTTAAACACCACAATGGCTAAACACTTTTTTGATGCAGTAACTGCTTCTAAATTTCAAATTGCGATAACATCGCACCCAAATCTCCACCAATATATATACCAGGATTGATTAATATTGAACAAATGATAAATAGCCTAGTGGAAATAATACCAAAAAAACTATATCAATTATAAATCATTGTCAAATAATTAAATTAGAATTATAATAAAAACAATTGATTCTTATAGAAAAATAATTAAAAATTTTGAAAATCGAAAAATTTGTTGTCATACGTAATTAAAACACGAGAGATTATTTAGAATTGTATTCACAGGTCTACATCATCCATAAACTTCTGCTAACGCGACACGACTTTCGAAACACACTTAATGCTAAAATAAAAATTACAAAAGTGCCTATAACCATCTTTTATGTAAAAATTGCCAATATAGAGCCCCCATATTCAAAAGACGATATGGTACAGTGTTTTAAATGCCAAGAATTTGGTCACACTAAAGCATATTGCAGAAAGCCTTATTGCTGTGTTAAATGCGGATTAGATCATCCAACAACAGAATGTACCAGCGCAAAATAAGCACCTCCCAGTGCACTAATTGCCTGCAGAACCACACTGCTAATTACAGAGGATGCAGGGTATACAAGAAGAAAAGAATAGGTATTAACCATCAATGAAGAAATCAGCACACATATAATGTACAGGATTTTCCGAAGTTGAACCCAAATAGTAGGAAACATCATACAAATTCTAATAACAATACCTCATACTCCGAAGCATTAAAAGCAGCAACAAAAATAACAAGGAAATAATGAATAGAATAGAGGCAATGCTTGGTCACCCTATTCATTAATTGTCAATTTCTAACACTGGAGTTTAACAACGTTGTTATGTTTTAGAGGAAGTAGTTATTCCCAAGCGTCTTTATAGTTAGTTTCGTTGATGACATATGTTATACTTAAATATATATTTTACTTAAAATTTCTGTAATTTGAATAAATGACATGTCTCAGTTTCGTTGATGGCAATTGTTACTTTAAATATTATATTGAAATAATAATTTAATGACACTTGTTAGGCAAATAGAGCTCACGAATACATTTCTTAATATGATGTTCCTTATTTAGTTTATAATAACATATTATTAACTAAATATTATTATTATATATACAAAAAAATGTCTTATAAATAAAATATAAGCAACAATCTTAAAATAACAGTATGGAATGCCAAAAGGATAAAATTATCACACAAATGAATTAAATATATTTCCTAATAGACATTTTATTGATATTTTATGTCTGGCCTAACGAACAACGAAACATATTGTGTATTCTAATAAATACTAAATATAAGTTATGTTAAATACAAGTAATGTTAAATAAGTTATGTTAATCCATAATAACGGGACTAAAAGTCCTACATAAATTGTATATAAACAGCAGAAATTTGAATAAAGAATCAGTTGAATTACAATAAACGTGTTTGACTCATTGCAATATTTTGCTCCATCAGCAACAATAGAATATTGTAGTGCCCATGACCTACGTTAATTTCATATGTGACAAGCCACTGTTCATTCAGACAAAATAAATGTGTCATAAATTATAATATGCACTTTTGTCTGTTTGACGCTTTGACTTTGATCATATTACTTAAAAGAAATAGTTTGACTCATGCTGTTACAAATATGCATTTGTAACATAAGACATGATAAGCACGTATGGTCATTGCACTATTCCGACCTAAATTCTGGAAAGTGCATTAACTCTTTAAAAACAATATATGACGTATTATTGTAATGCGTTAGAAGAGTATTTGTTTATAAAATTAATGTAATAAAACAATTAATGTAATTTATGGGAGTAACCAATGATTGGTTACTCAAATCATCGAAAAGTAAATAATAATTGTTTAGTAAATAAGCTAGAATAAGTATAAATACCCATAATTTTTAATAATAAAATAGATTCAATTTAACTTAAGACAAGGCTACGTCTTTTATTTGAATCGTGTTCTATGCGGCATTTAGATGCTGAAAGAACATTAAGCGGCTGAAGAGCTTAGTAATACTCAACAATAATCTGATAGGTCGTTTCCACTCTTATTGGTCGATAGGAGATCCTTTAATTATTTCAGGATTTAAATATTATTAATCAAGAAGACCTAATCCAGCAAACCTGCTAATATATATTGATGATTCTGACATCCTGCAATAACCATTATATGGCAATGGTAGAATAGCATTACACAGCAATAATACAACATCTTTACATATGGTGATCCTGTTAAATCATCACATATCATTACATTGCGATCAATAATCATTACATGGCGAACCTACCAGGTTAACATCATAACAATATCTTGCTCCATCAGCAACAATAGAATATCTTGCTCTCTCAGCGAGAATTCCTTTTAAAGTGGATATTCTGCTCTATCAGCGGAAATCCAATTTTATATAAATATTAAAATATTGAGTATTATAATATTATCAGGATCAGGATCGATACTTCAAATCGTTGCTATAAATATAAGCAAAGATGTTAGATATAAGTTAGTCTTAAGATTCCTACACAACATTCAACATATTAAATGTTTAAATATAATACAATTAAATTTACTAAAGTGAATTCTCGTTTTATTTAATTCGCGCAGCATTCGTTCTAAATGTATGTGGTAAATGATACGTATTATTAGCTTACATGCATTTCTGTATGATCAGTACCGAAAATTCTATTGGGTGCATGCGCATTCGTTGTTAGATTTATATGAGTTTTTTAAGTAGAATTATTATAATATATAAAATTTCCATGTCACAATGTTATTTAGACTTAAGTAGTTTTAGGGTGTGTGAGAGGTATTTCCCGGTGAAATTCCAACTACTTATTACCAACGTTTTTGTGAAGGTAGACATGTCAATTAAAAAAATGCGTACAACAACTATAAATCTGCATAAGCATCTGCTGGGTTGATTGTTCGTAGTTCGAAATCGAAATCTCTAATTGTAGAAACTTGTTAATTAAGTAGAGTTACATTTTTTCAATTTTTTTATTAAATATTTGATGTAATACATAAATGTAATTGAAATTTGAAGACGTTAGACTTAGAAAGGAGAACCAGACTCTAGGTTCTTGGTACAGACAAAATGCTGTGAAAAATTTATGGTCCGGACGCAGATCGAAAATCACAAGAACGTGGCTTGAAATGCCAAGAGACTCTCATCGAAGTAATGCGAATCTGGCGAATGTTATTTGCTTACAATAGTATATAGTAGTTTCTATTTTAACGGTTGTTAAGACATTTACAAATATATTTATTTTAATTTATTTGCATTTGAATCAATGTTAAATACTAATCTCTATTCACCACTTACGCACTTCAACCGATAAAAACTCATCTCAAATTAACTACATGGCAACGCTTGCCTTTACCTCTTTTTGTAATACGGTTGTGCAATGCACTTTTGCTTTTGGTTTTTTTCTTCTTATTTTACTCGCGAACAAAGACGGTCGGTTCGGTGAATTGCGCAAGTGGCAATTAAACTTAATAAATTAATTTTTAATAAATAAGAAATAGTGAAATAATAGATCCCGTTTTTTTTTTAATTTTGAAATTAAACTAAACGGTCCACGTTTAGTTTCTTATTTAACAAACAGTACTGGAACCGCAACCTAATTTCAACGGTTTGCTGCTCCACCACCACCAAAGCCGCAATTGTGCATCGCGGTCCACGTTTAGTTTCTTATTCAACAAACGGTACTGGTACCACAACCTAATTTCAACGGTTTCCTGCTCCACCACCACCGCTGTTCAAAGCCGCAATTGTGCATCGCGGTACACGTTTAGTTTCTTATTCAACAAACGGTACTGGAGAACCGCAACCTAATTTCAACGGTTTGCTGCTCCACCACTACCGCTGTTCAAAGCCGCAATTGTGCATCGCGGTCCACGTTTAGTTTCTTATTCAACAAACGGTACTGGAACCGCAACCTAATTTCAACGGTTTGCTGCTCCACCACCACCGCTGTTCAAAGCCGCAACTGTGCATCGCGGACCACGTTTATTTCCTCATTCAATAAACGGTACTGGTACCGCAACCTAATCTCACCGGTTCGCTGCTTCACCACCACAGCTGCCCCAAAGCTGCAACGGTGCTTTACGGACCACGTTTATTTTTTAAATAAACGGCACTGCTACCGTCATAATTTCATCAGTTTGCTGTTTCACCAACATCGCTGCTCATTAAAATTCTACAATCAATGGACTGTTGCTGCAATTGGAGACCGAAGGATCGACAGGTAATAAAAGTGTAGATGAGGCACAGTGCTAAAATAAAATTTAATTATTGCGGTAATAAATCACCTCAAGCTTAACATTTTTTTTTCATCATAGCATCCTACCTAACAGCACTACCATCTGCACTTTCTCTTTTTTAAAACAAAAGTAAATTGATGAGAAATATATTGCATTATATTAATAAATAAAAAAAAAAAAATATAATATACATTATGTTGGGTAACAATACAAAATAACATAAAATATATAACAAAGAATACTTGTACAAGAACGGCAACTTAAATGTAAACAAAAAAAACCAACCAATACATTCTCAAAATAATTTACTACTACCAAACCAAGCACGTTGTTTTGTTGTTGCAATTCGACCCACCACGACTGAAAAGTTTCACCACCCCGAACGGAACGTTTCACCACCACGAACGTTCTTAATTTTTTTTATTACGAAAGAGCAATATGAAGAGCGCAAATTGGGTTTTGTTTAGTTATTTTGACAGGAGAAATGCGCCAAAAACTGAAAAACGTAGTCAAATCAAACTGCGTTATAAAAAGTAGTGA